AACCTCCAGGACATCTTTAAACATTCCAACATCTGAATTACAGGGATGTGGGAAGGGGAAGAGCAAGAGCAACAAGGGGAAAACTTATTTGAACTAATAATAAAGGAGAACTTCCCCAACCTGGCAAAGGAAATAGACTTCCAGGAAGTCCAAGAAGCTCAGAGAGTCCCAAAGAAGGTGGACCCAAGGAGGAACACACCAAGACACATCATCATTACATTAGCCGAGATTAAAATGAAGGAGAGAATCCTAGAAGCAGCAAGAGAAAAGGAGACAGTTACCTACAAAGGAGTTCCCATCAGACTATTGGCTGATTTCTCAAAAGAGACCTTACAGGCAAGAAGGGGCTGGAAAGAAGTATTACAACTCATGAAAGGCAAGGACCTACATCCAAGATTGCTCTATCCAGCAAAGCTTTCATTCAGAATGGAAGGGCATATAAAGTGCTTCTCAGATAAGGTCAGGTTAAAGGAGTTCATTATCACCAAGCCCTTATAAATATAAAATGTTAAAGGGACTTATCTAAGAAAAAGAAGATAAAAAATATGAACAGTAAAAAGACAGCAAACTCACAGTTATTAACAACCACACCTAAAACGAAAGCAAGCTAAGCAAACAACTAGAACAGGAACAGAACCACAGAAATGGAGATCACATGGAGGGTTAGCAACAAGAGAATGGGAGGAGGAGAGAGGGGGAAAAGGTACACAGAATAAGTAGCATAGACTGTAGGTAGAAAATAGGGCAAGAGTAGTATGGGAAATGTAGAAGCTAAAGAACTTAAGACACATGGACATGAACTAAAGGGGTGAAGGTGGGTGGGAGGGTGTGTGCAGGGTGGAGTGAAATAAAGGGGGGGAAATGGGACAACTGTAATAGCATAATCAATGAAATATATTTAAAACATAAATTTTTAAAAAGGGCCCAGAAAACCCTCAAAAAGCTAAAAAAAGAAAATGAATGAAGCCAATGTCACATCGTTAGATACACAGCCACACAATGACAAAGTTCAATAAAAGCCAAGTCCTTAGCCAGCAGTGCTGACGAATGAAAGCCAAGCAATTAGAGCTGAGAAAATGGATTATATAATCTCAGAGCAGGAGACTCAGTTATATCAAGGAGATCAGTTATAGCCAGGAAGTTACTGTCTGGGTGTTGGGAATACACAAGACATCTTTTTACCTGGGATGGATCAAGTATAGTCATGATAAAAAGGGGCGAAGGGAAGAGAGAGACTACATAAACCACCATCCAGCCTGGAGTCTTTGAAAACATGAGAAGTAAACTACCTCTGTGAAAAAGCGAAGGTTAATGGATGAACTTGGACATCTTTTCTAAATACTTAGGGTTCACTGCTCCTACATTTATTACTCACACAATGAGGAAGCCCCCGAATAATCATGTACTTCATATTTCTTTGAGATACTCATTTCTTTCATCACTGTTGCCCCAAACAACATCATAAAATTATTCATAGGAAGTGAGGTGTTTCACCAAACCTCTTCCTGAATCTTAGTACAAGGGCTAAGGGCTAAAAATAAGTAAAATCACTTTGCTAAAGTTTCCAACCAAAAATAATTTTTGACAAAGCTTTTGTTTTTCCTTTCCGTACTATTTTTCATTCCCTTTTAATGTTCTCTTTTACAAAAACAAAACCTGTAATTTCATCTAGAAATGAACTATCTCTGTTTCAAGCAACATAAATTGTGTTTGGGAAAAAAAGGCAACATCCTCCCATGGAGAGAGGACAATCTGGAACTAAAGCACCACGAGGACCATGACAGCTGTCTCCAGTGCTGCTCCTGTGACCTGGGAGGGGACCTCAAGGACCTATGGCCTAAAAACAAAACTTGTAAGAATGTCACTTTTTTACATCATTAATCAAAATGCAGTTGAATTTCCATCACAAGAACCTTAATAATAGTATGCCATTTAGACAGAGTGAAACATGAGTTTAGTACATGGAAAACTTGATTTGTTCCACAAGTAAGCCTTGATTATTCTGTCTCTCATTTCTCTCAACCCTAAAGTCAAACTATCTTTTCATACCTTCCCATTTTGCCAATAAAAGATTAAAGATTAAATAAAATGTCTAACTCACTGCACAAGGAATTACTGTAGCCATATGGGGAGGGACTGGCTGGAGGTAGGATGGATGGCAGGAAGCATGCTCACCCCGCCCCCCCACCCCGGAACAGCTCACCAGAGCCAGTGGGGAGCACACTGAGAGCAAAGGATGTTGGCCATAGGGATTAGGCCTTGCTCTGTTTGGGAACTTTCAATAGCACGCAGTAAATAATTTTCTTCAGAGGTTCTCTGATGAGCTGTTGTGCAGAGTAATTCAAACTGAGAACACAAGACTTTTCCCATGTGCAAGTAGGTTACATAAGAGTTACAAGCAATAGAGTTCTTAAGAGTCCATTAAGTTGAAGCTGAAAACTTAGGTTTAAATAATGCAACGTGGGGATGAGACACAGAAATTACAGAAACAAATGTATGGTGTAAACAGACACCAAGACCTGCTATGGAAAGCTTTAACCACCACATGTAAAAATAATATTTTCACATTTCAAAATGGCTCCAAATTCTTTATCATCATCACTGTAAATCAAGAAATAAAAGTTACACTAACATGAAACCTTCCTGCTCATAACTGCAAGATTTATGAAACTTTCTTATAAACACATTTTTTTAACCCTGTGGCTGATTATCACCAAAGTGAGAAAGAAAAGTCACTATCGGCTAAAATTGATTCAATGTAGAATTTTTTAAATCATTTATTCTTTAACCTTGCGTGGCTTTCTCTTCACTCTCCCACCCATGCTAAGTGATGACAGGAGGAATAGATAGATGACAAATGGTTGTGTCCAGTCCAGCAATATATAACATACTGACCATTATAATTCTCAACTCAATCCACTGGTCAATACAAAGGAATTAAATTTTAGTATCAATGTACTCAAAGCTATCACATGAAAAAATTGATCAAAATTGTCTCTTTCTCATAAAAGGGGAGTTGACAGTAAATTCTCAAACAGTTCTTTCTTACAATGTCCACTGAAGTGCCCTCTACTTAGTACATATGAGCCAACTAATTCAGTTCAGAGTTCGGACAGATTGCCTTGCAAAACCTCAGCTCTGGGCTCTTAGTCACCCTGAGACAAGAGCTGCATGTGTCTAAAAGAAAAACCGCCCCAACGCTACAACAGTCGGTTATTCCAGGCAAGTGACGGCAGAGGCAATCATCTTGAATCAGAAAAAGGATGGCCATGTTGAAGGGGAGAGTATTTAAACATTTTTGGTATGTAAACAGAAATAAATAGCACAAAAAGACTTTCAAAATCTAAATTCCCAATGTTTGTACCACAGTTTTTTGGGAACAAGGCTAGAGGATGGTGTGCTACCACTCACAAGGCAGCCTAGGGGCTTTTCTCCCATACGTCCGTGATGTTCTCTGCATGTTTCTAAAATGTGCTCTTTCTAAATATTCACAGCACTTCATCAAAACCGGTGGTCAGTCTGCACATCTGAGCCAGGCACTCTGTCCTGTCGGCTTGGTTTCAGAGTATTATACATACAATTTCCTGCAGACTACTTACTGTTGACTGCACAATCATGAGGATTCTGGGCTATAAGAAACAAGTAGGGATATGTGGCAGGTAAAGAATTACCACACCTAACCTTGTTCCGTATTACTATTTTTATTATTCCTGAGATGCCTTCCCAATTCAAATAACTGAACTGAACAACACAGACAGGAACATTTATTCAGTTTTTTATTGGGTAATTTTCTTGAGAAGTTAAATTATGTTTGCTACCTCTCAGCCAAACTGGGTGATGATAATGAAGAGAGAATTCAGTATTAGACTGAATCAGAAAAAATCTTTTCCGAGAAAGACTTGATACAAGTGTTCTTTTTTTTTTTCCTGGTAGATTCAAGGTTGGAAAAACTCTTAACAATTGTATGGCCAATCCCCCATTTGACACCTGAACTCCTGTACAACATTTCTGCCCAGATGTTGCCCACTGTCTGCTAAACTACCTTTATCAGGAAGGTATTGCAACATTATTCACTCCTCCTTAGAACAGGATAGCAAAGCAGATGGAACAGGTAAACAAACTTTCATTAAACATGATTATGAATTTTGTCTAACTTTTCAAAAGACTTAGCAGATTTTCAATTGCTACTCAAGGAATACACCAGATTTGTTCCACGTATCCCATGGTTTCGACAATAATTCAAAATGGGAAAATAAGAATTTTACAAGCCCTTGTTGAACAGCTGTGTGCCTGTGGTCGTGGGAAAACAGATAAAAATATCTTTGTTTTGGTACTCCAAAACAAAGGGAAAATAAATGTTTTGAATAATAAATAAAAGTTTCACTTTAAAGCTGCTATAAACACCTTGTGCACAAGTCTTGGTACAAGAATTCCAGAGCCTTGGTGGAGGCATAATCACAACTGCAGCATCTGTCAGTTCAGAGGCAGGTGACAAGAGAGTGACAGGAGCAAGTCTGGGACTGCAGCCTGATGTCCCTGGCACTCAAAAGCAGGACACGGTACCTTGACTTTCTCCTTCCAGCTTGTATAGCAGCACTGCAAATACTTTTTTTTATTTCTGACTTCTCTTAAGGTACTCAGACTGCTTCAACATTTCAGATCCTCCCTTCGGAAGACCAACAAAGCAACATGTTGTTTGGTGGACAGTAATATCATAATTCACTTTACAGTGGATCAGTTCCTCTGAAGGAACAAGTTTATGTCTGTCTATACATGTATTTTCTGAACATATATATGAATAAGTCTATCTGAACTGAAAACATTCATTCTGGTAACACACACATAAACTTTAAAAACTTTAAATGATCATATTAATTGAGACTCAGCTGATTCAATTTTGAGTGTTATCTTTCACTGTAAGGTGTTAAAATGGCAATGGTGTCGATTTTTAACACACAAGACTGAATAACAAACAAAAACAAAACAACAAAAAAACCAACCTTAAAGTCAGTATGTCTTTATATGGAGGCCACTTTTTTTTCATATGGGTTTCAAAAGTGTCAGATAATTAACATTTAGTGGCTAGATGACAGGAGAGCAAATCTTCCTGCAAAAAAGAGTAAACTTCTTTGACCACTGAGATTTGGAAATCAAATCAATGGAAGTCTATTAAGTACTCAGGATAGATCTGGTTGGCATCAAACACCACAAAGATCTTTGGATTCCAGGTGTCATCCACACAGCTGTCATATAAATTCACATAGCTACCGTCTTTGGAAGGAGGTCGCATGTATTTGGAGTCTCCATTTATATAATCTCCAATTAGCACTCGAGCAAGAAACATAGATTTATATGTTCTAAATAGATGCCGCTGTTGCAAGCTTACACCATGAATTTGGAATGTGTTTCCATGTTTTATGTCATCTTTGCAGAAGCGACTGGAGTAAGCAGCATCTCTAGCAAAATAGGTTCCTTAAACAAAAAGAACCAAAAAAAAGCCAAGATTACTCTGAAGAATACATGAAACAGAAACAAAAACATTCTAATTGTTAGGGGAAGAGACACATGGAATTATATAACTAAAACGGATGTGGAATTTCCTCTACGCAGATGTTTAAGAAAAGAATAGGAATTCCTCCATGAGGACGGCTGGGATCCAGGCTTCCACGGGGACAGATATGTTTATACAGACCAGTCCCCAACCCCAAAACCATCCCACCCACACAAAAATGCAGCTGCCAGACTTCTATTTTCAAAAGAAATCCAATAGGTAAGATACATACAAACTATTTAAGTGTGGGAGCACCTGAGGTTTTTTTTAAAGATTTTTACTTATATTTAGAGAGAGGGGAAAGGAGGGAGAAAGAGAGGGAGAGAAACATTGATGTGCAAGAGAAATATCAGTTGGTTGCCTCTTGCACACCCCCACCCCCTGCAACTGGGGACCTGGTCTGCAATCCAGGCATGTGCTCTGACTGGGAATCAAACCAGTGACTTTCAGTTTGCAGGCCAGCACTCAATCCACACTGAGCCACACCAGCCAGGGTGGACCTGAGTTTTCATTGTTTGGACTCCCTCCCATTTCTGTTTCCTTCCATCACTTTCCCCACCCTGCTATGCTGTACAGCAATGAAAACTATTGTCTACAAAGATTATTTTAATCCACCCCACAAAACACATTTTATGATAAGGAATAAGAAGTCAATAATATTTCCAAAAATAATAGAACTCTATGTCCAGGAGAGTATAATGCTCTTCACATCTGCCCATCCCAAAAGAACAGTATCACTGGTTGACTGACTAAGTATGAAAACTCAGTAAAGCCTCTGACTCTTCTGAGGAGTCAGGCCTATAAAACTGCTATCATTATAGGAATACTTACTTTAAAAATTTTTTGAAAGAATTTCAAAGTCTCACATTATCCAATACTGACAGGATGTATGTGACATTTTTCTGATCCTCTCACAGTTAAATAAATGGAATGGCCTTTTCAGTAGTTATTTTAAAAATTAATTAATTTTTAAAAACGATAGCACATCCTGATCCTAAGTGGTAATCAGTCATCTTGATGAAGGTAAGGTACAAAGTAACAGCCAGCAAAATAAATGTCCACCCCTTACCTTTTCCCCTCATCTCTCTCCTTAATTTGCTTGAGTAGTGGGCAAAAAGTGGAGAACTTGGACTTTCACAACATTAGAAAAAAGGTGAGGATTTCCCCCATTATTCCTTATTGCTCATTAATATTCTTACCTATCTTTTTCTAAAAAACAAAACAAACAAAAAATACCAGTACTAGACCTGTGTACAATGTAATTAAATTATTTTTATAGTTCTCTCTATATCTGACATAGAACAGTTTTAGTTTTATCTATTGAAAGGACTTAATAGGTGAAAATTAAGTGTAATGCAAAATCAGCTAACATGGACAGGATGCCCCATATGAATGACTGGGAGTGGGGTGTGACTGAATCCAGTAAAGAGGTCTTCTATCTTGTACATGTGGGAAATGGCTTTTCTGTGGCTCGGAAAATCTGAGTGTGCTGGGAACTTAATACGGTAACTTTTAACTTAATGAATGACTATCAAACCCCTGAATTGCAAAACAATCAATTGTCTCCAAAAAGAAGATTTGTTCCCAGGACTCAGATGGACCTGGAATTCTGATAATTACCTTTACCAAAGAGAGCACCATGTATACCATTTATTCTCCAATCAAAATTATGAATGCAAATTGCTTCCACAAATTCACTGCTGGTACCGTGAAATAGCATTTGTTCATTAATCTGAGGCACACCACTTTTTTTCTTGAGCTGAGCCTTTTTCCTAAAAACACAATATACACAGACAACACACACACAGAAATATAAGTGGCAGTTATTAATTTTTCAAGAAGCAAAATTCAATAAAAAGCATGATCCAGAAAATATTTCTTTAACATAAATAATAAGTGGACAAAGCAGCTCTGAAGAATCTCAAATGCTCTTGAACACATATATCATCTCATCAAAAATCATTAGCTAACACTGAGACTTAAGGTTTGAAAATTATACCCAAAACTATAGATATGCCAGACAATGCCCCATTACAGTAAAGGTGATTGCCTAAGCCAGTCAAGTTTTACAGATATCTAAAAATTACATTATACACAATTAAATAATACAAAGTTCACAGAGTCTGTAAACAGTGGATTCCTTGAGCAAGGACCATGCCTTAATTGGTGTATTCCCAGAGGCTAAAAAAACTTGGTTGCATTGAACTGAATTTTGAATCCTAGGGCTGAAAGGACATTAAGCCATCATTCAACCTCTTCCCAATGGACAAATCCCTTGTAACAAGGTAGGACTGACTATAATAGTATAAAAACAAACAAATTGAAATCAGCCAAAAATTATTTCATAGAAAAATGAATAATTACATATTTATGTATGAAAGTTAAAAGTAATGAACTAGATTTGCATGTACTAAAATAGGTAACTTATGAAAATAATATTGAATGTAAAAAGAATGTTGTAAGATGGGACATATAAATCAAAATAATACTGCATATTGTGTAAGTACACATGTATAGATAGCAAAAAATATAAAAACATGGACAAAAAGACAGCACACCAAACTTAAGAGGGAAGAAGGAAAACAGGATGGCGTAAACATTTTACCTGTATATAAGTATTTGTATATTAAAAAATAAAGGAGATCCAAGATAGTGGAGGAGTAAGTGGAAGCTACACTAACCTCCTCCCAGGACCAATCTGGAATTACAACTAAATTGTAAAGAAATCATCCTGAATAACCAACTGAACAATAGCTGGAGAGGAGCCTTATAACCACAGACAGAAAGACAGATGAAAGCACTCCACCACAACAAGACTGGTAGGGAGTGCAAAGGAGATGTCAGAGGGCTGGCTGGGCTCCCATGGGCAGCAGCTGTAGTGCTGGGGGGATAGTTCAGTGGCAAGGGGGTCCCCCATGGGAAGTGTGGGGTCTAAACCCTAAGCTGGACTCCCCAGGCTATAGCACCAAAGCCCAAAAAGTACCCAGATAACATCCAGCTGTGAAAAGCAGCAGGGTTTCTCTATGCCAAGGACAAATGGCTATAGTCGCAGAGAGCCTCTTAAAGGGCCAATGCACAAAATTTCACTTGCAGCCACTTACTCTCAGCTCCAGCAAAGGGAGGGAAGAGTGGACTACAGATGCTTGAGGAGAGTCTGGGGATGGTGGCTTTGGGGAGAGAACTGAGGGAACAGCCACCAGTACCCTGGTGCTGAGTTATCTCCCACATTGCAGAAACCATCTTCCTCAGGCAGAGCACCCTTCCAAGTGGCATCAGCCTGAGGGGAAGCAATAGCCCTGTCCACAGGAATTACACCGCCCCATCCTGTGGTGCTTAAACCTGCCTGCTGGTTATAGACTGACTAGATTAACAATTGAAAGAGACAGCCACAGACTGTGGATTCCTGGTAGTATCATATAGGCTACCTAGGGCCAGACTAGGACACCATCACACATCACCAAGAGTGAGTCCAGAAAGAGAAGACAGTGGTAAAAACTAGATTCTATAGATTCTACAACACTAGAAAACACCGCATTCTTCATGATTTACGTTGTTTTCTCTCCTGCATATCTATTTAACATTCATTTCTTGTTCTGCAAGTTTGTGCCTATTAGGTCACTCGTTTTTATAATTCATTTCAAATCTCATATTTTGCTCCTCCCTTCTCCTATACCATTTTACCTCCTTCTTTCCTCTTATTTCATCTTAAATTTTGTTTTCTCTCTTGCTACAACTTCTTTCCATTCCACACTCTTATTAATACCCCTACAGCCTCTCAAACCATTTTTCCTGTCATTAGTCATCTCACATTATTTTTCCTGCTTTTAATATACCCTCAATCTCTCTCCACCTTTATTAGTCTTTGCTCATTGGTTGTGGATATGGTGGTTGTTGTTGCATTTCTTCAACTTTATTTCTAGATCTTCACTGTATTTGTATTTCAAATCTCAAGTTTTACTGCTCCCCTATCCTGCTCCATTTTGCTTTTTCTCTTGCCCTTTCTCTTTTTTTGTTTCAAATTTAAATTATTCCTTGTCTTAGTCTGGTTTCATTCCTCACCCTTAGTATTTCTTTTTCCTCTATGCTCTCACAATCACTTCTCTTTCCTCTAGACATATTTCTTTATTCCTTCTTATTCCCATCCATCTATATTAATCTTTGTTCATTTGTTGTTGACAGTGCAGTGGTAGATCTTTTTGTCTAATTTTGCTCCTATTTATTCTCTCTAAATATATAGGGTTTTAAAAAGTTCTGTTTAAACCAATACTACACACTTCCTGTCTCTTACTCCATTTTGTCTTCTTCCCTTCCTTTTTAAATTATGATGTAAATTTTACTTTCTTTCTTCACTTTGTCTCTATTCCCTACTCTAATTATTGCTCATCTTTCTATCCTTTCAGAATCATTTTTCCTTCAGGTAACCATCTCATGTTCATTTTTCCTCTCTTATAATCACTTTATGCCTTTATTAATATTAGCTCATTTGCTGTCGATAGTGTGATTGTGGGTGGGGGTTATTTTTGCAGAAAAGATGTGGGTTTGTTACCTAGGCTGTTTGGTCTTGTCCTCACAGCACCTGTACAACAGCATACAAGACATGATGGGTGAAGTGACTCTTAGCCAGCCAGAGGGAAGTACCCACAAAAGAACAACTCAAAGAACAACCAAACCCCAATTACAGCCAGAGAGCCCACATAAATGGCATAAAGAGCACCCCAAGAGCAAAAGGGTCAGGAGGTCAAGGAGAATGCACCACTGAACCCCACCACAGGTATCCTATCACAGAAGGTCATACCATGAAGACAGGGAATCAGAGCAGATCAATCTAATACACAGAGACAAACAAGAAGAGTAATCTAAAATGGGGAGCTGAAGAAACAATTCCCAATCAAAAGGAAAGGAAGAATCCCCAAAAGACTGCTAAACAAAATTGAGGCAAGCAAACTATCAGACACTGAGTTCAAAATAATGATTATGACAACGCTCAATGAGCTCAGAGAGAACTACAAAGAATTCCAGGGAAGCTACAAGGACTTACTGCAAACTACACCAGTATAAAAAAGGACATAGAAACTATCAGCAAGAGCCAGGAGGAAATGAAAAGCACAACATTTAAAATAAAGAACACAGCAGAAGAAATTAAAAGCAGACTAGATGAAGCAGAGTATCAAATCAGTGGCCTGGAAGACATGGTAGAAGGAAATTCATAGACAGAGCAACAAAACAAAAAAAACTTAAAAAGAAAAAAGAGGATTTAAGGGAGCCACAGGACAACATGAAATGTAATAATATCCATATCATAGGGATACCAGAAAAAGAAAAGGAAAAAGGGATAGGAAAGAAGACCTGTTTGAAAAAGTAATGACATAAAACTTTCTTAACTTAATGAGAGAAAAAAGTCATGCAAGCCAGGGAGCACAGAGGGTCCCAATCAAGATGACAAAGACGCCCACTCCAAGACACATCATAATTAACAAGGCAAAATTTAAAGACAAAGAAAGAATCTTAAAGGCATCAAGGGAAAAACAGTAACATACAAGGGAGTTCCAATAAGGCTATCAGTGGATTACCCAACAGAAACACTACAAGCCAGAAGGGAATGGCAAGAAATATTCCAAATAATGAAAAGCAGGGGTCTTCAACCAAGATTACTCTACCCAGAAAGGCTCTCATTTAAAATGGAAAGTGAAATAAGAAGTTTGAAAAACAAAAGAAGACTAAAAGAATATATCTCCACCAAAGCAGCACTGCCAGAATACTAAATAAAGGACTGCTTTAAGAAAATGAAGGGGCAGGGGGGTATAGGTACAAAGGGAAAAAATGGCAATGAGTATGTACCTATAATTAATACCCTTAAATGTAAATGGATTCAATGCTCCAATCAAAAGACATATGATTGCTGAATGGATAAAAAAACATGACCTGCATATATACTGTCTATAAGAGAGCCACTTCAGAACAAAAGATCTACACAGATTGAAAGTTAAGAGATGGAAAAGAATATTCCAAGCAAATAGACATGAAAAAGAAAAAGCTGGTGTAGCAATACTTGTATCAGACTAAATAGATTTCAAAACAAAGGTCATTGAAAGAGACAAAAAAGGATACTACAAAATGCTTAAGGGAATAATCCATCAAGAAGATATAACCATTGTAAACATATATGTACCCAACATAAAAGCACTCAAATATGTCAGAAAAATCCTGGAGGACTTCAAGAAAGATATTAACAGCAACACACTCATAGTAGGGAATTTTAACACCCCACTGTCAACAATGGGTAGATCTTCCTAGCAAAGAATCAACAAGGATATAGTGGCATTGAATAAGACACTACATCTAATAAACTTACTTGATATGTACAGAACCTTTCACCCCAAAGAAGCAAAACATACATTTTTTTCAAATGCACATGGAACATTTTCACAGATAGATCACATGGTCTAAGAAACAAAACTAGCCTCTACAAATTCAAGAAAATTGAAATTGTCATGCATTTTTTCAGATTACAATGGCTTGAAACTAGAAACCAACTTCAAGGAAAAAACTCAAAAACATTCAAATTTATGGAGACTGGATAACATGCTATTAAACAATGAGTAGATCAACAATGAGATCAAAGAAGAAATCAAAAAATTTCTAGAAACAAATGAAGATGACTACAAAACAGACCAAATAAACAACCTAACCCTCCATCTACAAGAACTAGAGAACAACAACAAACAAAGCCCAGAGTGAGCAAAAGGAAAGAAATAATCAAGACCAGATTAGA